TGAGCTTGCGAAACGCAATAAAATTAAAGTCATGGTGCAAAGAGTTGACTGGTCACCCAGAAAGCGATGTAAAATAGTATTATTAAGCGAACAAGGCTACAGTTATAAAGAAATGAGAAGAAAAATGGGTGGAAACTTAACCAAAAGTGGCATTTCTACTGTACACTTTCCCCAAAAGGTTTTCACAATTTTGGCAACTACCGTAGATTAGTTTTTAAGCAAATGTTCCAGGTTTTGGATAGCCTTGATTGGGGTTCAGCACCTGTTGCGTGCACCTTCTAATAAGCAGAACTGGTGAAGTCACAACATGGTTTTGTTTTAGCCCCGCTTGAGATGCGAAGCCAGTTGTGGTTTATAAACCCTGGCATAAGGCAACGAGTAAATGCTGTCAGGATCCATGGAGGTGGTTTTCCTGCTCCTGGGAGCTACCTGTATTTTGACAATGGAGTACATTTGAGGTGCGTTCCTGGTACTCTCCAGCTGAGAGCTAGATGTCCCAATTATCAGGGCTTAGAACCCAGCAACATCTGAGATTTCGAGGTACCCAACGGTGGCAGCTTGAAGACCTGTGGACTTCAACTCCCAGGATTCCCCAGCCAGTCAGACTGAACTCTGGCAGTTCTGACAATTGGAAGTCCACAAAAAGTTGCAAGGTTGGATACCCGTCTTAGGTGATCAGCAGACCAGCAGATGGCGGCCTTTTCCTGTTGCATTTGGGCCAAGGAAAACGGCTCCTTGGATTGCAGAGGGTCAACTGAGGCAGTGGTGTTACTAATACCCCTTTCCTGGAATTTAGTTCTGTCTCCTCTCTCTGCAGGATGTTGGTAGCTCTTTTTCTCAGCGGTTGCATTTCTCAGTGCTGACTTAAAAGTGAACTCTTCCACAGATTGGGCATCTGCAGCACACCTTCTCTTTGAATAGTGCACCGGCCTTTCTAAGATTGCCTGCTCCCAAATTCCTGTGGCCAGCCATTTTATCCACCCCTTTGGCATTTTCTTAATTGTGAACTCCCTTTGTTAATAGCCTGAAAATATCTATCCGCTCTGCTCGGCTGAATGGTTTATAAAGAACATTTTATGGCCTCCTAGCTGTCCAGTAACCAATATTCTCATTTTTATTTTTAATTTGAAAAGCAAAATTTGGGAGTAGCACAAACATTAGAGTGACGTCAGCTTGACTGGATGGAGTAGCTAAGGCTTGGCTCACCTGCAGGGTAATTATTTTCCTAATGGCAAGAATGAAAGATCCTCAGATTATTATAGAGCAGTGATGGCAAACCTTTTAGAGACTGAGTGCCCAAAGTGCAACCCAAAATCCACTTATTTATTGCTGGGTGCCAGGTGGGCGTGGCCCACTGGGTGGGTGTGGGCAAGGTGGCCGTAGTCACCTCGATGTTGCTTGTGGGGAGGGACGCCTGTCGGGGCTGGGCAGGGTTGGGGGAGATCCAGGGAGGTCTCTGGCAGGTGGGGCGGTGGGCAAGAGGCTCATTGGCTCCCGCACACAGAGGCCAGTGAGTGCATGGGGGCTGACGATGCCCGTCAGCAGCCACAGCCTGCTGGCCCCTTGACTGGTGCTCTCAGGGGCTTCACAGCCCACCCCCAGCAGTTCAGAGAAGCCACCTCTGAGCTGGATGGCCGGCCGACAGCTGAGGAGGCAATGCAATGGGTCGTGCCTGGGAAAAGGACAGCATGCGAGGCCAGGAGGGACGGGATGGGGGGGGGAGGGAAACCGGATGGGGGGGGAGGGAAACCAGCCTTGCTGGGATGCATCCAGCCACGTGGGACCTCGGTGAGTTAGCGGCCAGCTGGTTGAAGAGGGACGGTTGCCATCTCCAGGGCATGCCGCGTGTAACCACAGAGAGGGCTCTGAGTGCCGCCTTTGGCACCCGTGCCATAGGTTCGCCACCACTGTTATAGAGGAAATGAGAAAGGCGATGTTTCTTGTTCCCTGTTTGAAACCCTATTATGTATAGGGACAAACTGGTTTTTATTATCCTTTTATACTGTCCAATAACTTATACAAAGGCTCTTGAAGAGATACAGACCCTGCTGAGTCATTCCCATTATTATATCTTATATCTTACATTACATAAGCTGTTTAGCTGTTAAATCAATACCTTAGTAATAGTAATAGTAGTAAAGTTGGAAGGGACCTTGGAGGTCATCTAGTCCAACCCCCTGCTCAGGCAGGAAACCCTACACCATTTCGGACAAATGATTGTCCAGTCTCTTCTTAAAAACTTCCAGTGTTGGAGCATTTACTGCTTCTGGAGGCAGGCTGTTCCACTGATTAATTGTTCTCACTGTCAGGAAGTTTCTCCTTAGTTCTAGGTTGCTTCTCTCCTTGATTAGTTTCCACCCGTTGCTTCTTGTCCTGCCTTCAGGTGCTTTGGAAAATAGCTTAATTCCCTCTTCTTTATGGCAGCCCCTGAGATATTGGAATACTGCTATCATGTCCCCCCTTGTCCTTCTCTTCGTTAAACTAGACATACCCAATTCTAGCAACCGTTCCTTATATGTTTTAGCCTCCAGTCCCCTAATCATCTTTGTCTTAAATGGAGGGGTATAATTGAAACACCTACAACTAAGTATAAATCCTTGGTAAGTGGGGACTGCATTGTAAGTTTGGCTTCCAGTTTCCAAAGATTGTGGTGCCACAGTGTGCAAAAACTGAGCATTGGTGATCGGGCGCTTCTGAGATTATTTAATACTGAATTTACTTTTTAAAACAACTTGTTGAGAAAGGAAGATTACAGACGTGGTTTGGAAAGCAGAACGATCTAAGTACAATGGTGAAATCTACAGATGTCTGTGCACATCATATGCTAAGACACCTGTATTCTGCTCAGATCATTTAGATCTATTTAGCTGTAAAATCTTTCACATTCTCTTCCAGATCATCCTGTAATTCGGGGTTTTTTTAAGTGACTTCGAAGTCCTACAGTGCCCAATGCGGTACACTTTTATAATTTTTCTATACTTGAATCATTTTACTGCTTTCAAACGGACATTAAAAAAAAATTGTCATTGGACCGCTTTCCATTTTGCTCTCTGAAGACCCCAGCCCTGAATTATTTACTAATTATTAACTAATGCTTGTGTAAATCAGTTTCAATTGTATTCAGTTGTGTTACAGAAACTCTCTGTAAGTATGTGGGTTACTAAATGAGGAACTGCCGGCTGCTGTAGGAAGCCTGTTTCAGATGATGTGTTATCAACTTCCCTGGCGCCACAATGTACAGTCATGAGTTGTGCACAGGCATTTTGTCCCCCCCCCCAGTTTTTTTCAGCTCCTGCCAACAAGGCTTGAAGGATATCATTTCTGCTAGCTCAGGGGGTCTTCAAATGTGGCAACTTGTAAGACTTGTAGACTTCAACTCCCAGAATTCCTCAGCCAGCCAGGGCTGGCTGAGGAATTCTGGGAGTTGAAGTCCACAAGTCTTACAAGTTGCCAAGTTTGAAGACTCCCGTGGTAGCTCTTTTCGCTGGAAGACACGAACACCTGCTCTTCACTTTTTTTTTTTTTTTGGCCCCTTTTCCCACCCTGTGGTTGCAAGGCAAATAAAATGGAAGCTGATAACACTGAAAAGCTTGTCATAAAGCTTCCCCAGAATGCTGTTTCCATCTGGGAAGTGGGAAGGGGCTGTTAAATAATTTGACAGTTTGCGTGGCATAGCTGGGAAAGGCTTAAATCAGCCCTGGAACTGATTATTTGTTTGTTTCAAGCTACACGCTTATCTCTACCTTGACCTAGTTCAGTATGTTTGTGCAAACACAGCTGAGGAGTCATCTTTCCAAAGCAACTGTATGTAGCCTCCTCAATAGCTTGGTTATCTAGTAGCAGTATAAAGCCCATCCCGTATTGCAGTGTTTCCCAAACTTGACAATTTTAAGGCATGTGGACTTCAACTCCCAGAATTCCACAGTCAGCGTTGTTGGCTGTGGAATTCTGGGAGTTGAAGTCCTCATGCCTTAAGTTTGGGAAACATTGCCGTATTGGAAAGAGCAAACCAAAATGTTCACAGTAGGAGACAAATTCCACATTGTCAGTCTTTCATTATCTGGAGAAGTGCTTGGTACCTAATGCTCTTGCTAGTGTCAGCTGTTTTATTATAGAGTTGGTTGATTGTTCCTCTCCATCTAGCAGTCCAAAAGCATGCAAGTGTGAATGGATTCATAGGTACCACTTCGATGGGAAGGGTCCTGTGTCCTTTTTGGTGTATAGCCATGCTCGCTCCTACAGTCAGACCTGACCCAGCTGGGAAACCTTTACCTTTAAAAAGTTGAGGCTGTATGTAATTGCCTTATTCTACTGCAGTGGTTCTCAACCTTTTTAATGCCGTGACCCCCCAACTGGTCGTAAGTCGAGGACTACTCAACTGGTGCAGCACCGTTTGCAGAATGGGACTTTTGGCGGGCTCAGCAGGGCAGAGACAGCCTGGACAATCCCTATTGGCTTTTGAAAGCCAATAGAATTAGACTCTATTCAAGAGAGTCTACTCTATTGGCTTTCAAAAGCCAATAGAATAAAAGGGAGTAGCACAGCTAAGGAAAGGGGGGAAAAATGGCGGACTGCGTTGTTTGGCGACCCCCGTGAAATGGTCGTTCGACCCCAAATGGGGTCCCGACCCACAGGTGGAGAACCACTGTTCTACTGTACCAAAAGGGTCAGCAGCTTTTCTTTGTCTTTCCCTTTTTATCCTACATTCTTTTTACTTCTACCTTTTGATTACGCGCAAGAATTCGTTCACCTCTGACTTTTTTTAAAACTGCCTTCTACAATCTGGATGCCCTGAACATGCGCGGATTTAATTACCAGCATTATTAACGTGTGTTGCCAGGGGATTCTGGAAGTGTACTCATTGGAAAGATGGTGATTTGAGTTTAACGGCTGAAGTGATCGCAAAAATACTAAAAGAGTTCTGGTATGCTGTTGTGTAATGGCAAACGTGGGCACCACGACTTAATCGCTTAGTCACTTCAGACAGAAGAAACGTGAAATGTAGAAAACCACAGAAAACATGAGATTGTTTTATTTACAGTATGTACATGCCGATCGGATAGCTCTGCTTCACGCGCTGAGGAACCGCATCCAACAGCTTGGAAGTATATATATATTTTAAATAATCCCTTTAGAGGAAGTAACCTCGTAGCAGCATTGCTCAGGAGCGTGAAAAAAAAAATAGTTTAGTCCCTTCTTACGTAGAAAATATTATAGCCGAGTTCGATCATCCCTCCAATTAGCAGAATCCAGAGGGGAATAAAGACGTAAGAAAGTTTCATTGCGGTAAATTGTTCCAGTTTTGCGCAGAGAGCAAGACAGAAGGCCAGCTTTAGCAGCATGGCTGCGAGGTACCACGCTTTCTTCTTGAGGTTCTGAGAACCGTTGCGAGGATCATAGCCAGACTTACAACGGCGAGCCATTTTCACAATGATCATCACGAGAAGAATTGTGTCAAAGATCCAAACAGGAATGAATATGAGGAACCAGTTCCATGGTGCCTTTTCATCCAGCTTTAACACCAACATGATCAGGAACAGTAAGGTGAAGAGCCATGTGAGTAGCACCCTCTGGGCCAACGACATTCTCATTTAAACAGCCTTGGTAGGTCAGGAACCGGAACAGAAAAATATACGCCCTAGAATAAAGGAAAGAAAAAAAAAAATAGGACGATGGGTAAAAGACACCCCACTCATGCCCATCCATAAAGCTTTTGTTATTTTTCAAAAAAAAAAAAAAAAAAAAAAAAACCCAACAGTGAACATTGTGAACTGAGAATGTTTGCTTTGACGAGTTCTATAAAACAACAGGAAATTCTACTTGTTTCATTTAATTCATTCTACTTGTTTCATTTAATTCATTTGGCCTTGCACTGCAGATTATTGTAATAAACAATTTCCTTGAGGGACAGCCACGCTGGAAATTTGGCGGAGGAGGGCAGATAGGTATAGTGGTTAAGGCATTAGACTAGAAAGCAGAAGATGTCCAGGGGTCTTTATCAACTTGACCCTTTTATGACTTGTGGACTTCAACTCCCAGAATTCCTCAGCCAGCGTGCTTGGCTGAGGAATTCTGGGAGTTGAAGTCCACAAGGCATAAAAGGGCCAAATTGGAAGACCCCTGCTTTAGTCTCACCTGAGGCATGAAAGCCAGGTGGGTGACTTTGGCTCAACCCATCTCACATGATTTTTGTTGTGGGGAAACTTGAGAGAAGGAAAGACTGTTAGGCACGTTTGCAACTTTCAGTAACCTATAAAGTAATAAAGGTGAGATTAAAATTCCAACTTAAAAACTCTGATAACCTCACCTAAACTAATCTCTAGTACCAGCAGATTAGCCCTAATTTTACAAAACTCAGCTTTCTAAGTGTGAATAGCTGTACTTTGAGCTGAGCAGAGTGATCAGAGAGACCTTGCTTGTAGCTGTTATTCAGCTGCCTAACAATATTGGACCTCTTCAATTTTGGCACTCATCAGCAATCAAATATATATATATTTTTTATCATCATCTAGTTCTCTATTCTGTTCTGGAGAATATTGGTGTGATCATTAAAAATAGCACGGCCCTGATGGGAGACAATGAAAAAGTTCTGTATCTCATTAGCTGGAGAACTTATAAATAAATATATCTATGCTTTATTGGATTTAGGGCTGTGGGAGAAGTTTCCCTCTGCCCTCCTTTTCCCAGGTTTTCCAGTTGATAAAACACCCTGGCATTCTAAAAAGCTGTTATCAAAGATAAGAAATATAAATACCTCAAGCCCAAGTAATTGAAAAAAGGGGTTGACTTAGCTCCTATGCTGTGCTTCTCTTAAAGGTAAGTAGAGCAGTGTCTGCAACAAAGGTGCTTACATCCATCATTAACTTAATGGAGTTGCTAAACTTATGTATGCAGGAAGTCCTTGACTTGCAACAGTTCACTTACTGACCAAAGTTATAACAGCACTGAAAAACGTGGCATGCCAGGTTTTCACGTTTAAGACTTGCAGGTCCTGAGATCAGAATTTGCTAATTTATTTATGACGGTCGGTTGCAGTGTCCCGGGATGATGTGATCCCCTCTTGCAACTTTCTATAGCAGGGGTTCTCAACCTTGGCAACTTTATGACTTGTGGACTTCCACAAGTCCACAAGTCTTAAAGTTGCCAAGGTTGAGAACCCCTGTTCTATAGCAAGCAAAGTCAATGGGGGAAGCCAGATTCACTTAACAACCGCGCTACTAACTTGACTGGTGATTCACTTAACTGTGGCAAGAAAGGTCATAAAATGGGGCAAAGCTCACTTAACAAATGCCTTGCTTAGCAACAGAAACGTTGGGCTCAATTGCGGCTGTTTTAAGTTGAAGACTACCTGGTATCTATAGATCAAGGCTTTTCAACCAATGGTACGGGTGCCACCTGTGGTACATTGGCACCTGGCAGGTGGTACGCGAGCGTCCTAGAAAAGTGGTAGCGGGGGAAGGAAATGAGCTGAACCAGTAGCAGCACCGCACAAGCCTGAGCGAGAGACGGCTGGAGCTGCAGGGCTGTCAGGGCTCAGCGGAAGCCCCAGGATCAGTGCCGTTTTCCAGATGATCAACACTTCTTCGGGGCTGTCAGGGCTTAGCGGAAGCGCCAGGATCAGCGTCAGGCTCCACCTGGAGCTCGGCGTTGATCCTGGTGCTTCTGCAGAGCCCAGAAGAAGCGCCCATCAGCTGGAATGTTGCAGCCTCTCCAGGGTCTTGTGATTTACATCCAGATGCTTGGCAACTGATTCATATTTATGACGGCCACAGTGTCCCAGAGTCATGTGAAGCGACCAAAACCTGCTGCAACCACCCAGCAGACGGGGGGAATAAAAACCAAACACCCCCCATCCCCCCCCCCACTGCCAATCCTCAACAGAAATGCTCACAACAATGAAAACCTCAGACAGGAGGAAGAGCACGGCCGGGTGGGCAGGCAGGTGTCTTGCTCGGCTGTGGCTTGGGGACACTTTTTTCAGTGCCATTGTAACTTCGAACAGTCACTAAGCGAACTGTTGTAAGCCGAGGACTACCTATACATCATCACTTTTTTCCTTTCCTTTTTTTTTGGGGGGGTCAAGTTTTTGACCCCTTGCTAGGCGACTGGTGGTCCTCGGATGTTGCCATATCCTAAAAGTGGTACAATGGGTGAAAAGGTTGAAAAGCCCTGCTATAGATTACACAGCACGCAACAAAACGCCAGGATCCTACCGAAGTATTATTACCCCCCACTAGAGTTCTTAGCTGCTACTTCTCGGTAACAGATTTCCAACAAGCAAACACAAAAACAACTTTCCAAGCACCTGGCCCATTCTAGGCATTTTGAGGGGGTCCTTGCTGCTCTCTGCACTTGGCTGTTTTCTTGCAGACGTTTCATGACTTAACTAGATAACATCATCAGTGCTACAAGGGAGGGATCTTTGCAGAGTGGAGAAGGAGGAGGAGGAAGAAGAGAAAGAAGGGAGGGGGAGGAGGTGGGAGAGGGAGGAGGAGAACTACGGGGTCCTTGCTGATCTCTGAGCTGGGTGGTTTTCTTGCAGACATTTCATGACCCAACTAGGTAACATCATCATTGCTACAAGGGAGGGATCTTTGCAGAGTGGAGAAGGAGGAGGAGGAAGAAGAGAAGGAAGGGAGGGGGAGGAGGTGGGAGAGGGAGGAGGAGAACTACGGGGTCCTTGCTGATCTCTGAGCTGGGTGGTTTTCTTGCAGACATTTCATGACCCAACTAGGTAACATCATCATTGCTACAAGGGAGGGATCTTTGCAGAGTGGAGAAGGAGGAGGAGGAAGAAGAGAAGGAAGGGAGGGGGAGGAGGTGGGAGAGGGAGGAGGAGAACTACGGGGTCCTTGCTGATCTCTGAGCTGGGTGGTTTTCTTGCAGACATTTCATGACCCAACTAGGTAACATCATCAGTGTTACAAGGGAGGGATGTTTGCAGAGTGGAGGAGAAGGAGAAAGAGGAGGAGGAGGAGGAGGAGGAAGACCAAGGAGCCCTGGGTGCTCTCTGAGCTTGGTGGTTTTCTTGGCAGATGTTTCATGACCCAACTAGGGAACATCATCAGTGCTTGGAGGGAGTAGGGATTGTGGGCAGGAGGAAGGAGAGGAGTAAGATCAAGGAGCCCTGGGGGCTCTCTGAGCTTGCTGGTTTCCTTGCAGATGTTGCACTACCCAAATTAAAGAACATCAGAGCTTGGAGGGAGTGTGGTTTACGGAGAGGAGGAGGACCAAGGAGACCTTGGTGTTCTCTGGCCCTTGACTGTTTCCTTGCAGATGTTTCATGACCCAATTAGGTAACATCATCGCTGCTTGGAGGGAGTAGGGCTGGGGGTGGTGGAGGAGGAAAACCAAGGAGTCCTTGGTGCTCTCTGAGCTTGCTGACTTCCTTGCAGACCTTTCTGGACCCAACTAGGGAGCATCATCAGTGCATGAAGGGGGTGGGGTTTGTAGTGGTGGTGGAGGACAACCAAGGAGTCCTTGGTGTTCTCTGACCTTGACTGTTTTCTTGCAGACATTTCATGACCCAATTAGCTAACATCATCACTGCTTTGGAGGGTGTAGGGTTGGAGGAGGAGGAGGAGGAAGAGAAGGAGGAGGAAGACCAAGGAGTCCTTGGTGCTCTCTGCGCTTAGTGGTTTTCTGGCAGATGGTGCACTACCCAGTTAGGGAACATCAGAGCTTGGAGGGAGTGGGGTTTGTGGAGAGGAGGAAGACCAAGGAGTCCTTGGTGTTCTCTGACCTTGACTGTTTCCTTCCAGACGTTTCATGACCCAATTAGGTAACATCATCACTGCTTGGAGGGAGTAGGGCTGGTGGTGGAGGAGGAGGAAGAGGGAAACCAAGGTGTTCCCTGAGCTTGCCGGTTTCCTGGCAGACCTTTCAGGACCCAACTAGGGAACATCATCAGTGCATGAAGGGAGTGGGGCTTGTGGAGAGGAGGAGGAGGAAGAAGAGAAAGCAATCTCTGGGCTGGTTTCCTGGCAGACCTTTCATGACCCAACTAGGGAACATCACCAGGGCTCCTGGGAGGGCTGGGCAGTTTGCTTAAGGCTGAAAAGGGACTCCAGAGTCGCAGGGGCAAAAGGGTACAAATCCCCCCCCCCTCGCACGACGCAGCTCTATCCTGGGGGGAACCCCCCCCCACTCCCCCTCCAGGCCCAGCACAGCCTGGAAGAAGCCGAGCCCGCCTCTCCTCCTCCTCCTCCTCCCCGTCCCCCAACCGAGGTCGGGCTCGACACTGCTGCGGCGAGGGACCGCCGTTCCAGCGGGGGCCTTTAATCCTCCTCCTCCCGCTTTACCCGCCTCAAGGCCGGCCTCGCCCCCCCCCCTCCAAGCCGCCTTCCCAACCAGGTAGCCTCGGCCGCCCTGAGGAGCCCGGCCGGGCCTTCTCGGCCCGCTCCGGCCGGGTCTCCCGAGCGGGCAGAGCCAGTCTGGGCCTCCCCAAAGGGCCCGCCCGCATGGAGGCCGGAGGGCCGCTACTCACCCGCCTCAGGACCCCATGGGCGGCCGCCACCCGACGCCGCTCTAGGACGCCGCCGCAGCCAGGCCTGCCGGGCCCGCCTCGTCAGCGCGAAGGAGGAGACGGAGAGGCCCGCATCGCGAAGCGGCGCCTCCCCATAGGCCGCTCCGCTCTCCCTCGGCGCTCCCATCAGCCGGCGGAGCTGTCTGTCATCCCGCCCGGCTCCTCCCTTCCTCCCTATTCGGCAGCCCAGCCGCCTATCAGCATCGTTTCCCTTCCAGTCCCTCCCTCCCCGCCCCGCCCTCGCCGGAGCTGTCATTTCCCTTTGGATGCGTTTGCCGCACGGGATCTCACCCGCCCTCCCGCCCGTCCATCAAGCCAGCCCAGCCAAGCGCTGTAGGCCGCGCCCCCTTCTCTCGTCCACGAATTTCTCTCGCCCAATCAGGTAGGCGCACTTCGCCCCGCGTGAGGCTTTTCGAGCGCCGCGCGGCCCGCGTTCCGCCCCGCCCACTTGAGGAGGGGAGGAGAAAGGGGGCGGGGCGATCTTTCCACGGCGGCGCGCTGTTGCTGCTGCTGTTGCTGCGGCCGCTTTTCCTCCCCCCCTCCCTCTCTCCCTCCCTCCCCCGCCTCGGGAGCGCGCGCTGCCCGCCCCCCCCATCCGCCAGCTCGGTAGCAATTGCCCGGCGCGCGCTGCTCCTTCCCGGCTCTGCAGAGGCTGGCTGGGGGGGGGGGGGGACCCCGGGCTCCTACAGCCCCTCGCCCGCCAGCGAAGAACCGGTGAGTGCCCCCGCCCTGCAGCTGGGAGGGGGGAGGGGAGGGGGGGCGATTGCCGTCGGGGGAGGAGGAGGAGGAGGAGAGGGAGGGGCTGCTGCACGTGCGCGGAGGATGCAAAGCCAGGAGGGGGGGGTTGTCCTTGGAGGAGGGCGACGTGGCTAGCGAGAGGGGGGGGGCTGGCTCGTTGCTTGCCAGGGGGAGAGGAAGGAGCTGCATGCTTCTCTCGGTCTCGGCTGCTTTGCCCCACCTTGCAGGGAGGTGGGACGGGATGCAAAGGTCAGCAGGGGGCTCCAGGGCCCCCCTAGAAGGGGGTCTCGGCTGCTTTGCCCCTTGCAGGGAGGTAGGAGGGGAGGGCACAGGTCAAGGGGCCCCCCTAGAAGGGGGTCTCAGGCCCCCCTAGAAGGGGGTCTCGGCTGCTTTGCCCCTTGCAGGGAGGTAGGAGGGGAGGGCACAGGTCAAGGGGCTCCAGGCCCCCCTAGAAGGGGGTCTTGGCTGCTTTGCCCCCTTGCAGGGAGGTAGGAGGGGAGGGCGCAGGTCAGGGGGCTCCAGCCCCCCCCCAGAAGGGGATTTCGACTGTTTTGCCCCCTTGCAGGGAGGTAAGAGGGGATGCAAAGGTCAGCAGGGGGCTCCAGGGCCCCCCCTAGAAGCGGGTCTCGGCTGCTTTGCCCCCTTGCAGGGAGGTAGGAGGGGAGGGGGGCTCCAGGCCCCCTCTAGAAGGGGATTTCGGCTGTTTTGCCCCCTTGCAGGGAGGTAAGAGAGGATGCAAAGGTCAGCAGGGGGCTCCAGGCCCCCCTAGAAGGGGGTCTCAGCTGCCTTGCCCCTTTGCAGGAAAATGGGGGGGATGCCAACTTCATGCAGGGACTCTGGGCTCCCCTATAAAGGGGGCTTGGCTGCTTTGCCCCTTGCAGAGAGGATGGAGGGGAGCGAACAGGTCAATAAGGGGCTCCAGGATCCCCTAGGACTGGATCTCGGCTACTTTGTCCCCTCACAGAGAGGAGGGAAGGATGCAAAGGTCAGGAGGGGGCTTCACCCCCCCTGCCCCCCGCAAGGGGGGGTCTTGGCTGCTTTGGGACGGCACAGTCAGGACTCCCCGGGCACCTTCTGTGCAATTGCACTAGCACACCTGCTTGTGCACATCCTGCTTGGTGACTACCAGCTCCCTCCCCCTGCTTGGATCCTTCCCAAGGGAAGCAATCCAGAAAGCTGCGGGTTTTAGTCCAGCATGCTAAGCAAGTGGCAAGTCGATCCCGATGGGAAGTCCACAGGTCTGCTTCCTCCTGGCTGATTGAGTGAGCGCTTGTTGTTGTTGTTGTTGTGGTTTTTTTTACTGCCCTGGCCGAAACTGACTCTTGAGCACCCTACAATTCCCACCTCTGTCATTCAGATGAAAAACAACAACAACAACAACAACATCAAAAAAAAAAAAAACGAAAAGGGATAGCAAAGCAACACTAATTGCAATGATCTGGAGTAAGTCCCGCCGGGAAAATGGTAATTATGATTATGCAAATGCAGCCTGTTTGGGGTGAAGGCGGGACAGGGGGTTATTTCAGGAAGCAGATTAAGCAAGATGTTGGGTGATGTCTCCTGTGTCATCTCCAATTGGCCCTGCCTGGTAGCGCTTGTCGGGGTGAGTGCCAAGATCTAGGTAGTCAGCTTGCTCTCTGTGGAAATCAGGAAATCTTTAAGCTTTATGGGGTAATTCTATCCTGGGGGGGGTCTGTCTTGAACTTTAAATGCTGAGAGAAAAGAGGTTCTTGAGTTCCCACCTTTCTAGAGAGAGTTTGGAAAAAAAAAATTCAAAGAAGAGCAACTAAGATGATCAAAGGCCTGGAGACCAAAACATACGAAGAACGGCTGCGGGACTTGGGTTTGGCTAGTCTAAGGAAAAGAAGAAATAGGGGAGACATGATAGTAGAGTTCCAATATCTGAGGGGCTGCCAGAAGGCAGAGGGGGTCAGGTTGATCACCAAAGCACCAGAGGGAAGGACGAGAAACAACGGATGGAAACTGACCAAAGAGAGAAGCAACCTGGAACTAAGGAGAAACTTCCTGACATTGAGGACAATCAACCAGTGGAACAGCTTACCCCCCCCAGAAATCGTGGGCACTCCATCATGGGAGATTTTTAAGAAGAGTGGACATTCACCTGTTGAGACGATATAGGTTCTCCTGCTCGAGCAGGGGGCTGGACTAGAAGACCTCCAAGGTCCCTTCCAGCTTCTATTCTATTCCATTCCATTCCATTCCATTCCATTCTACTCTTATTCTGTTCTGTTCTATTCTGTTCTGTTCTGTTCTCTCTACTCCACTCCACTCCATTCTAGAGGGTGATCACCTGGTGGGAAGAACTCCGTAACGTCCATGACTTTGGGAGTGACCCTTGCAAAGAATTCCTGTTAGGATTACGATTGAAAGTAAGATTAAAATGACAGAGGTGGACTCTAGAGGCTTGAGGAAAGCCAACTCCCCTAAGAATAACCGAATAACAGAGTTGGAGGGGACTTTGAGGTCTTCTAGGGGACCCTACCACAGGGGTAGGCAACTTTGGCTCTTTTATGACTCATGGACTTCAACTCCCAGAATTCCTGAGCCAGCCATGCTGAGGGGAAAGGGAGAGGTTTCTAAGCTGAGCCATGCTGGCTCAGGAATTCTGGGAGTTGAAGTCCACGAGTCAGAAAGCGGCCTAGGCCTTAGGCCAGAGGTAGGCAACCCTGGCTCTTTAATGACTGGTGGACTTCAACTCCCAGAATTCCTCATCCAGCCACGCTGAGGGGAAAAGGAGAGGTTTCCAAGCTGAGCCAGGCTGGCTCAGGAATTCTGGGAGTTGAAGTCCACGAGTCTTAAAAGAGCCAAGGTTGCCTACCTCTGCCCTACACTATTTCAGACAAATAGTTGTCCAATCTCTTCTTTTAAAAAAACCTCCATTGATGGAGCATCCACAGCTTCAGGAGGCAGGTGGTTCCGCTGATTAATTGTTCTCACCGTCAGGAAATTTCTCCTTAGTTCTAGGTTGCTTCTCTCCTTGATTCATTTCCATCCGTTGCTTCTCGTCCTGTGCTTCGGAGAGATCAGAAATCAAATTTGGAAAAAGACTGTGGCCAAAAGCTGCCATCCGCAGAAGCCTTTCAAAAAGTTTGTGGGCCATATAAGGTATCCTAGTTGGGATGTCCCTCTCTGGTTACTGTAGGGCAAAAGATAAACCTTCACAAATCATCTAGAAACCCATCTGAGCACACCAAAGCTTCAACAGAGCCAATAATAGAATAGAATAAGAAATAGAATCTATTGAGAATAGAATAAGGAATAGAATAGAATCTATTGAGAATAGAGTAGAGTAGAGTAGAGTAGGAATGAAATGGAATGGAATGGAATGGAATGGAATAGAATAGAATAGAATAGAATAGAATAGAATAGAATAGAATAGAATAGAATAGAATAGAATAGAATAGAATAGAAATGGAATGGAATGGAATGGAATGGAATAGAAATAAGAATAGAAATAAGAATAGAATGGAATAGAAATAAGAATAGAATGGAATAGGAATGGAATAGAATAGAAATGGAATGGAATGGAATAGAAATAAGAATAGAAATAAGAATAGAATGGAATAGGAATGGAATAGAATAGAAATGGAATGGAATGGAATAGAAATAAGAATAGAAATAAGAATAGAATGGAATAGAAATAAGAATAGAATGGAATAGAATAGGAATGGAATGGAATTGGAATGGAATGGAATGGGAATAGAATGGAATAGAATAGAATAGAAATGGAATGGAATAGAAATAAGAATAGAATGGAATAGAAATAAGAATGGAATGGAATGGAATGGAATAGAATAGAATAGAAAATATGGAATGGAATGGAATGGAATAGAATAGAATAGAATAGAATAGAGCTGGAAGGGACCTTGGAGGTCTTCTAGTCCAGCCCCCTGATCAAACAGGAAAACCTATACCATCTCAGACAGGTGAATGTTCAGTCTCTTCTTTAAAACCTCCAATGATGGCGTGCCCACGATTTCTGGGCGTAAGCTGGAGCTCAACCTTTCAACAGGAGGCACGTAGATGGACCGTTGGAATAGTAAAAGTGTTAAACCGAAGGAAACGCGGAATTCTGCAAAGCAGAAATACAGCGCATTAAAGCTAACAAGGCATGGCGGAAGGCTTGCTTCTTCTTCTGAGGAATCTTTATAAAGAAAAGAAACTGCCGTAAGAACTGAATTTTTCAGAAGCGGAGGAGAAGACTCAGAAAGGGAATGAAACAAGGACGTGTATTGTCAGAGCTTTTGTTTAATTGATGCGCAGGTAATTTCAGCCAGCATGGCTTCTTGTGAACTCACAGAGGTCAGCAGTAAAAGGTGGCAGATAGTTGTGTTTTATTGGCCTTGAGAGTGAAGTTGGATAGAGTGGAGTTGAGAAAAAGGATGGAGGAATATTAACCCCAGAGAGATCTTCAGTTGCAAAGCTATAAGAGACCACGAAGAAGAAATCTTAAAAGCCGTGTTTTCTTCCAGTGATCATATTTAACTATAAAAGCTGGACATTGGGAGAAAAACGAGAGGAAAGAATACAGAAATTTCGGAGTATAAATAATTTGGAGATGTCTATAAATAACTGTGCAGTGGGTGGAAATTCTATCAATTGATCCCGGATGAAATGAAGGTAGGCTGAGGTAGTTGGCAGGAATTTCACCTGACTGGAGGGCACTTAAATATTCAATTATTTACATTTCTATTGCTATTTTGTCTTTCCCCTTTACATTCTGCATCTTTCCAGTCCAGAGGTATTTTATCTCTGCTCCATATATTCAGAGAAATTCAGGAAGACTTGATAAGTAGGTATACTGCCGAGAATTAGGAAAAAGTTATCTGTCGTAACTACTTTCAGAGAATCTTGAGCTTTAGATATGTGCATTTGAGGGCATTGGAGGAGTTGAATGTTGGATCATCATCTCCTCCTTCTCCCATTCCTCGTCCTCATTCTGTCCATCTCCTCCC